TTTTTTTCAACCATAACATTCACCAGTACTGTGTTTTTGCAGCTTTTCCTTGGAATGACTCTGTTGAGGCCTCCTGTTTCTGTCTGTTCTCCCTCTCTGTGTTTTACCACACTTTACCGTGATTTCACCATTCTCTGCTACACAGTACTTTGGTTTTACCACGGAACAGCCCTGCAGACCTTCACCAGCAGGCCTATGTGCTGACAAGGCAAAAGCACAGAGAAAAACAAGACAACTAAAAAAACTGCTTTAGCATGAGCAGTGATTTAATTTCACAGTGCTGTCCCTTTGAGAGATGCCTGTTTTGACAAGATCCCCAACTTGAAACACACAATCAAATATTCAGTCACAGATTTGTTCTATAAATACAGGCACCACCACCAGTAGATTCTTACCACTAATACTCCACTGCATTGTTTTGCACTTTCTAACTGAAATCTAAAAGTACAGATGGCCTCCCCTCATTTCTTAGCAATTTAACGGTTCCAAAAAGCTTCAGGTCGAGCAAGAGGAGGGGACCCAGTTCTTCCACCCCTGTAGCTCAGCACCCCCCTGGATGACACACTTCAGCTACCCCGCCCCAGCAGCATCGCAGCAGGGCAGATGCAGAGGGGAACAGCGCCCCCTGCTGTTCTGCTAGCACCACTTCCAGCAGGAATCTGGCTCTTGCAGGTCCAGTGCTGACCAGGGCCAGCCAGCCTGGCTGGGCTTCTGAGATCTGAGCAGCACAGGCTGCTAAGTGGCAATGCGCTACTGTGGCAATGTACTGTAATATTAATATAATATCGTAAATGTGAAGAGTAGAGCCTTTTGGGTGAAAGGTCAAGGAGGGGCTCCTGAAAGGTACTGTAGCTTATTTTGCACAAGACAGATGATACTCAGATTGTATCAGATTGTTGTTAAAACTTCTCCCCCCTCTGGTCTCCCCCGTCCATCTCTTATCTCTTGTTTGCGTGACACCAAACTCTGGTCGACATCCAGTTCCCTGAAGCTAAATAGTGACAGAACAGACGTTTTACTGGGGGGCAGCAAGTGTGTCAGATGGAGCTTCACAGCGATGGCGGATGAGCTTCCCCATTCACACGTCAGCCACATTCAGCATGCTGGGAGTCACGCTGGATCCTCTCTCGTCTTTTGAGCCACGTGTGAAAAATCTGATTCAAACATTTTCCTTTCTTTCACCTTAGAAATATTGCCTGCATTCGGCACCTTTTCTTCATTGTCTGGTGCTGAGTGCCTGATTCATGCATTTATACTTAGTAAGCCAGTAAGCCCTTAGTAAGACAAACTTACTTAGTAAGCCAGCAGCCATGTCACCCTGCAACTCACAACTGGCAGCCCACTGGAGCTCAGCAGGTGTGAGCCTGGTCAGTACCTGGATGGGAGACCTCCTGGGAAAAACTAAGGTTGCTGCTGGAAGAGGTGTTAGTGGGGCCAGCAGGGGGTGCTCTCCCTACGGTCCATGTGGGTCCTTATGCCCCAGTATAGTGATGGGGACACTATACTGTAAACAGGCGCCGTCCTTTGGATGTAAAACCGAGGTCCTGAGTCTTTGTGGTCATTTAAAAATCCCAGGGTGTTTCTCAAAAAGAGTAGGGGTGTAACCCCGGCGTCCTGGCCAAATTTCCCATTGGCCCTTACCAATCATGGCCTCCTAATAATCCCCATCTATGAACTGGCTTCATTACTCTGCTCTCCTCCCCACTGAGAGCTGGTGTGTGGTGTGTAGTGTTCTGGCGCACTATGGCTGCCGTCACATCATCCAGGTGGGGCTGCACATTGGTGGTGGTGGAGGGGATCCCCATTACCTGTACAGCGCTTTGAGTGGAGTGACCAGAAAAGCGCTATATAAGTGTAAGCAATTATTATAATTATTATAAGATCAAAGCTTGGTTTCTCCAACTCTTTACTCTATGGGCTCCCTAACTCTCTTCTCAACTAGCTACAATGTGTCCATAACTCTGCAGCTAGACTACTAACTACTTGGTTGCCTATAAAATCACATATTCAAGATAAGATCTTTTACAGACTTTCAAGGCTCTCAACAATCTGGGTCCATCATACACCTCTGAGCTATATATACCGTACATATACGGTATGTGTAAGATAAACTAATGTTTGTATTGTACCCTGCGCTAGGTGGCTATCTAGTCCAGGCTAATCCAGTAACTAACATGTCCTCTGTGAGTAAACATTCCTCTATTGCTTAGCAATATTATACAAACACAAACCTTGTTAGTAATGCTTCTAAGACAAAATAATTGATCTTGGATTTCAGGAAAAACATCAATCCCCACCAGTCAGTTTACTTCGATGGTACTGAAATTGAACAGGTCGACTCCATCAAGTTTCTTGGCCAACATATTACCAACACGCTGAGCTGGGCAGAGAATATTAGTGCACTTGTGAAGAAAAGCCCAGCAGCATCTGTACTTTCTGAGGTGCCTAAAGAGGAGTGGCACCCACAAAAAAGCACTGGTTAGTTTCTACCATGGTGCCATTGAGAGGTATAGCAGTGTGGTTCGGCTGTGCTACCCAGAAGGACAAACGCATCCTCCAGGGAGTGATTAGAACAGCTCAACGCATTATCGGAACAGAACAGAACCTTCGTTGGAGAATCTCGATACAGCCCGCTGCAGGAGAAAGGCCCATGGTATAATAATAATAATAATAATAATAATAATAATAATAATAATAATAATAATAATAATAATTATATTATATAGCGCCTTTAAAGGTGGCTTCTCAAAGCGCTTTACAGAATGACAACAACAATAAATAAAAAGAATACACAAGATAAAACACAATTACAATATACACAGGAGACCGTGGATGGTGGTACTAAGTAAAGGCTTTTCTAAAGAAGAAGGTTTTGAGTCTGGATTTGAAGGAGTTTAGAGAAGGTAAGGTGACTCTCTGATATCCTTGGGGAGAGAGTCCCAGAGCTTGGGGGCAGAACAGGAGCAGGCCCTGTCGCCCATACAATGTAGACGGGCTGGGGGGACAGTAAGGAGACCCGAGTTAGAAGAGCGAAGGTTGTGAGGTGGGGAGTAGGGCGATAATAGTTCAGACAGGTATTGAGGTGCCAAGCCATGCAGAGCCTTGTAGGTGAGCATGAGGATTTTAAAGTCTACATGGAATTTGACCAGAAGCCAGTGCAAGGACTCCAGGATAGGAGTAATCTCAAAGACCCACTCCGCCTTAGCCACAGACACTAAACATAATCTTGTAGGCCAGAGAGCATTAAGACCCGAAGGAACAGGTTTATGAACAGTTTCTTCCCAAAGACAGTGTGCCTGATTGCCAAGGAACATGCAGACTGCATGCATACCATGCATAACATATAGGAGGCCCATATCTACCCCATCTCCATAGGCACCATGTCTTTTATCACGTGTAACTTAGGAACCATTATTCTTAAGTGATTTTTTTGTGTGTGTAATAGTGTGTACAGGTTGTGTATAGTCTTTTTACAGTATATAGTGTCCTGCACATAGCCTGTGTATTTACCCTTTTGTTTTCTGACTGAGAACCGTGTTAGATTTCCAATGCACTGTTCGTGCAAGTGGCAGTAAAGTTACTTGAACTTGACACACAATTACAGCACTGTGCTCTGGTGCGGGCCTTGACAGGACCTTTTAAAGGACAGTAGGTCTTTGCTTCTTTAAATAAACCACACTTATGTCTTGTCTTGTTTTACAGTGTAATGCACTTTTAACAAGATCCTTATCTCCTGTAATTGGTTTAGCTTCCTGGAGGAGCTGCAGACAGTCTGCAGTAGATTTAGTTTTCCAGTGGGTTGCACTGGATGAAAGTGAAACAGATTTTTCTGGTGGGGGTACAGGACTTTGTCCCAACCCTACCCCTCCTCTATTGTCATTCTGGGCTGGATCTCCTGTACTTCCAAAACTCAGATATGAAGTGATGACTTCAGGAGGGGTCTCGTTTTCTTCACAGTACTGCGCTCCCAAGCCTCTGAGATAAATATTTGCCTTCAGCATCTTTCCGATGATCGCTTCCTCTTTGTAGAAGGATGAAAAAAGCCAATTAAGCTTCAACCCAGCACAAGGCGCCGTTCTCAGTCTTTTTTTCAGCCATCGCTCAGACGGTCTCTCCACGGCGGTCCCGCGGGTGCAGCGGCGTGCGATGACGTAACAAGGCGAAGATGACAACGCAGGAAGACGGAGGGTTCCGAGGGGTGACGTCATCTGAACTCTGTGTGAACTGAGAGGGTAGGAATGGAGCAGAGATTCATCACCTCTGTAGACTTTGATTACAGATGGTGGAAGCTCGTGTGCTACAGCTTCGATCCATGGTGACGGCTGCATTGTAAATGCGGCGCTATAACTGCCCCATCTATGATTAAACTGGGTTTAAAATGCGCTTTGTCAGATCGTATTTACATAGGTCCTTGTGATACTGAAATACACGCAAATACGCCTCACTCAAGTACAAAACTAAAGCAGACGAATTCTAAAGGAATAGAATAAAAATATGTTTATTTCCTTGGGCGGATAACACAACACTACACAACGTGCTTCATGTCAAGTTTTTGTAAGGCATTGTGGATATTGCACAGTAATAAAAAGTTAAAGAGAGAATATTGCATTTCCAATTTCTACGATTTTATCTTAAGTCAATATAACATATTCCAGAAAAAAAATAATATACCACGGAATATACCATCGTGACCACAATTTATAAAGTGTAACAAAACGTTTAAACCTATTTAAAAACATTGCTTATGAAATAAAAACTAAAGGTGGCAAACGCAATAGTTTTTTCTTCTGTAGTAGGTAGCACTACTCATGTAGTTTGGTCTTCAAAAGCATTATTGGACTCTGGAGCGTCTTTAGTAACCACAGCAACGCAAATCTTATAAGAGGCGGGTTATTTCCTGGTCGAACGGTCACCGCCCCTAACACAAACTGACCTATCATAAGCCGAGAAGAACAGGAGAAGCCAATTACAGTTCGCCGTGGTCGCCCGCGGGGTGTGACGTACAGGTTGGTTGAGAGACTGTAGGAATGTTTTCAAAGCGTGCGGCGAGATTCGTGTGCTGAGACAGACTGCCAGGTTTATGAAAGCTAATATTTCATAAAGGTAAATAGCAGAATGCTTTTATCAAATTAGCCGTCTTTACATTTCAATGAATTAACATATTAGCTATATATATATGTGTGTGTGATCAGACGCGGTTCTTCTCTCAGAGGTATTCATTAGCCAGTTAACTTTTCCTCTCGGTTAAAATACAGGCGTCAGGTAAGCATCTAATCTCGCGAAGTACAGATCACAGGAGTACTGGATTTCTAGTTACCCTTAAACTCAGAGAAACCACGTTCAACGCTGTTTAAACGGCGTTTCTCGTTTAATTTTTTTTTATTTTGTGAATAGTACCATAGAAAACACGAAAAAGTTGTACCGTTTTACACTGTACTTAACCCTTTCAAATAAAAATATATAAAGTGATAGCGTACCGCCACATTTGTTATAATAAATATATCTGGCGAATTAATTACAGATAAGATGTATGATTTAATCCCCGATAGGCAGTCTTTGCAAACCGTCACCACAGGAAGATCTTTGTTTACCGCTGTTCCTGTGTTTCCTTGACAACAGTGCCAAGATCCCGCAAAGCTTTCTCCTGGCACTGTCAGGCTTAATGATCTTTTGTTTTTACAGAGCCTAAAACAATTGTTTTTCACCTAGAATCCTAGATCCTGTTATTAGAATAAATTGAAATCGAGCCTAATGCCCACTAGGAACAAGTTATAGGTTTATTCCATGCTGAAAAAAAGAAGAAAGAGAACAAAACGTTTCGGCCGTGGAGCCTTCTTCAGGTGTGGACTTCAGGACGTTACACTTCTCAAAAGAAACAACGATCACTTTGAAGCTTGTGTATATTTGTGTAATTGAGCTCACATTAGCATTAGTTTTCCGAGTTTATTTTTTTGTGTTTTTAGTTGGGTTGTTTGTTGTGCTTTTTGATATACAGAACAAAGAGTTCATTTAATTTATTAATCCTTGTAATCTTTTCTTTTTGCGCAGTTGTAAAAGTTACATTTGCGTGATTCTCTAATTGAAGATTTGGAATTAGAACCCCAACTCTTACTGCTCCACCACTTGAATTCAGAGAGGCCTGATCTACCCAGATCCAGAGAGGAGTTTATCCAGGACAGTGCGGTTAACTCCCGTACTCTTCTAAACAGTGGTCCATAGTGACCCCAAAGGGTGTACTTGTGATCACAGTAGACTGCTGTGTTTTCTGCTGCTGGTGTGGCGATATGAAGTGTTAGTGAAGTTAGTGTGTTGCACTGCCCTTCCTGCTCCTGGCCCTCCCGCATGAGCAAAGAATCATGTCCCAGGAGCTGTGTGAAACTTTTCCCACACGCAGGCAGGACAGATGGGGCTATTGGTTTTCCATGAAGGCAGATGTGGGCCAGCGCCGTGTTTTCCGGAGGGGACAGGGCCTTTCCGAAGACACTGGAAGTGTTTTCCGCTGCAGAACGCGGGTCACCAGTAACGTGACAGAGGATTGGCAGGAATCCACTTCAGAGCGCCATGCTCCTCCTGCCCTGTACTTCATAAAAAGCTCGGTAGATTATATTTAATGCCCCTGTGGGTTAACCTAACTACTTAAACGTGCCCACACTTGTAATGTAAGCAATTAGAACCACCGTTACTTGAATCCAGATTTGGGTCTGTGGTTTTGCTAATGGCTCTGGTCTTTGCAGTGCAGGCACAGACTCTTATACAAACAAATGCCTTGAATGGGAACGCCCTGTTTGTACACCCATTCATGCATCATTAAGGCCAGGTAAACCCTTCATAAGCCCAGTGTAGAAAGTTAAATTTCCCCTCCACCCTCTTGAAATTTCCGATTGCTTCCAACAGGTATTTAATTGAGCAAACAAAAGAGTATTCCGTGCTGATTGTTTAGACCCTGAGTTTCTCTTCTCATAGGAATTTATAATAATAATCCATCCATCTTCTAACCAGTTTTTCCAATATGGGGCTTGAGCCAGACCTTATCCCAGCAAGTGACAGGCACAAGGCGGGATTACACCTTGGGACAGATGGGTACTCCAGTCCACAGGACACACACACACTACCAGGGCCAGTTTTCCCAGAAGCCAGTTAACCTACCCACATGTCTTTGGACTGTGGGAGGAAAAACTGGAGCACCTGGAGGATACCCACATGAATGCAGGGAGAACATGCAAACTCCACCCAGACAGCACCCCAGGTCCGGAATCGAACCCAGAGTCCCAGCGCTGTGGGGTAGCAATGCTAACTGCTGTGCCACCATGTTGCCTTTATGATAACGAGATCTCTATTTTATAACTCAGGGAGTTAGCTGCACTTGCTTCTTCAGGGGCTCTAAGTACAGGAAGTGTTCCAGAGAGCTAGAAAACGAGTCTCCTGATTTTCATTCCAAAACGAGCTCTCAATGATACAGTCGTACTGGTTATCAGGTTAATTGGTCCAGACGAGTGTGTTGTTTTTCCTGTAATTGAAGACGTCCCCGAAACCTTGAGAGACTGCCACCCTGGGGGAGCCGGGGAGGAGCGATGCAGGATACCAGTGTGTGACCTGCAGCTGTCTGCTTGCGTAGTGAATGAAGGGGCTCCTTCAGATTTGTAGTAATGTGCTGACATCATTCTTTTTTTTGTTTATTTGTTTTTTTTTTGTCCTGCCTCTCCGTTTTCTCTTGTTGTCAGCTTGCAGATCAAATGACAGGTTATTTGTTTACTAAGTTTCACTCCCTGGTTGGAGGTCACCTGATCTGCCAGCCCTATTCTCCGGGAGCTGCCAGTCAGTCACAGTCTTACAGTTTGGCAGCCTGGCCGATGAGACAAGTTTCTCTTGTGTTTAGGGCTCGCTGCCAGCTCGCTGTTGAGATGTGGGAGAGAGTGATGTGGCGGGACCAGCCTTCAGGGGATCCAACAGCCATGCCGGAGTGAGGGATCCAGAGAGAGGCACATCGACAGGCGGAGCGCCCCCTTCTGTGCTGGGACTGCAGCACCGAACAGCTGAGGCCTGCTTTCTAAACCACCTGCGGTCTGCAACACCAGTAAGTGCTGCTTGTTAATTCATGCTATTGTGGTCTTTTCACAGATCCGCTCAATAAAATAGATCACAGCTGATGCACAACATGGAAACAGAATACGAGGTATCATGTTGTTCACCAACAATATTATCAAATCAACAAAATAATTACAAATTCACCAAACAGAGATTAAGATAATGGGGCATATTAGTGGAAAGGTAAACTCGATTCTTTACAGCTCCCTTTGTAATGTGCTTTTAAAATAATCTAAAACCCGAGTTTTTCGCCCCGGATCTTCAGAATGAACATGTTCTCTGTACAAATTCCGACTAATTAAAAACTGGCTGATTCAAGAACCGATAGTCCGGAGCTCAGACATCACATCATATTATTGATGAATTGGGAGCTGACTGTGCGATAGGAGAAAAAAGCTTAAACAATGCAGGTCTTTTGTTATTGTACTGAAACTTCCAAAGGCTTCATAAGCAATGAATCAAGTGGAAAATGTAACGGCTGTAATCCTTTCCTAAAGTCATAGCAGCAATGGATGTTACTGGATGTGCTGTTATTTTTACATTACATTCTAGGGTAACTGTAATGCACTGGGACACACAGCAGTTTCTGTGTTTAGAAGGTGTAGGATTTTGCACCCAATAGATTTATGACACTGTGCCGCAGTTAATATAATACACATGTATGGATTTCATTTTTCGAAAGGGAGCTGCTGATCCTGATTACCGGGGAGGGGGTTGTGGGCAGAGGAGGGGAACAGCTGCTGTAATATCACACGCTGTGAGGTCAGAGTGCTGAAGATGGGAGCGGGATCATGCGGTTTCATTAAGTGTACTGTTACCTGGCTCCCCGACCTCCCAGCGTCAAGTCGGGCGCCCCTGAAGCACGACTCACTGTTTCCATTGCAGAGCGGGGGAAGTGGGGGCTGTGGACCGGGGGGGGGGGCCCGTTGGCTTGGCTCTGACACCCCACAGTGAGGCAGGCAGCCTCAGCTCCCTCAAGCCTGGCACCCCGTCTTCGGGATAGATCGCTGGCACGGGCGCCGGATTCGTCCGCACCAGTCTATCCGTGCAAGCTGAAACCGTAAAGAGACACTCGGATGCGGCCGTCCCTCTCCTCGTGTCTCCATCTCTCTGCTTTCCCCTCGTGTGACCACAACAAAGGTGGGTATGCGTGCTGAGTCATTGCCTGTAGGCAACAGTGGGCACTTTGATGAGGCATTTACTCCAGACATTAAAGCAGCATTTTTTTCTTGTTAGCTGCGTTCATGAGATCTCTTACCTTCTTCAACCATGTGTTGATCTCCTCCTTGACTTCCTGTAACTTTAGATGCTCGGATCCAGAGAAAATGGATGTTTTAACAAAGTTTGTTTCAAACCCGGCACGTTAGCCCTCCCCTTCTGCCTTCTCAACCTGGGCCACAGCTGCACAGCCGGGAATATTTCTCAGCGACGGGAGAGGAGTGTGTCACCCATGCAACGGATCACTGTTGCAGGATGAGACCGCCCAAGGAGAGCCCCGGCAGGGAGTCGGGGGATGAGGCCCCGGGGCAAAGGTCTGGAGGGGGCGGCGAGGAGGGCGAGGGGGCCGACAGCGACAGCCAGCCTGAAAGCTGCCCCGCTTTGAATGAGTGTGGCCCAGCGGAAAGCAAGAGGAGGAGGAAGAAGAAGAAGAAAAGGTACTACAGCTGCAGATCCAGGGCTTCTCTCCCTGCAGGCTGTGCTCTTACAAGGGCCGCCGGCACATGTGGTCAGGATGCATTCTGCTCTTAGACCAGGGCCTACTCCTTGTGATTTTCATTACAGCCCAGCTCCCTGTTAATTGAACCAACAATGGTCTTAACGTGATCTTCAGCCAGGGATTGCAGGACAGACACATTGGCGTAACCGGTGTGTGCATGGCACCCAGGTCACACTGCCAGGGTCCTGGGTTCGATCGCTGCCCGGCCCCTCGGGGGGAGGGCTGGGCTCCCCCACCTCATTACCTGCCCGTGAGAGGGGTCTCTCTCCCCTGTGACCCCGCGCAGGTTATGGGGCTAGAGCTACACGGGCACTGATTGAAAACACCTTTAAGACTTGCAAAGCCAGGTTGGAGACCCCTGCCTGAGACAGCTCGCAGGAATGTGAGGTTTTATAGACCACCCGGGCTAGCAGTGTTTTCATTCTGCAGAGGACAGGTGGTGAATCCAGCACAGCCTTTCAGACGTGCAGAAGTGTTCATAAATAAATGTGGCTAATTAGTAGTGCTTCCCGCGGAAGGCTCTACATAGAATAGTTAAAAACAGTGAAATGATAGATTTTTTGGAGGTGTACCTTAACTGCTTCGAGTGCAGGGGCTGTAGGGCTGGGGGCAGGAACACGGGGGCACTGTAAGGCTCACACGTAGTGTGGAGAAACAGAAAGAGAGCCTCCGGGGAACCTTTTCATTGCTAACAGCTGCGTCTTCGCAAAGATGGTGGGCGACATTGTGCCAGCCAGCAGCACGGCTCTCGGATTACAGTACCTGTTAATAAAACCCACCCTTTTCTGGAGCCGCGCTCGGAGCGCCCAGAATCAACAGAGGCGATCAAAGTGCAGCCAATGTGTAATTCCAGAACCGCGGGGGAAAGAGTGGGGGTTTATGAGCTGCAATAACTTTCTGGTTCCAGCACACTAGCACTGGAGGCAGCTTCTCTCCTATTTTATTTTTCTAGCAGCCGGAGTGGGTTGTGGGGGGGAGGGGGGTGTTGAGTGTGTGCCTGTGCTTACATGGGGAGTCTTTGGGGGGATATCAGGCCCCCAGAATGAGAGGTAGTCCTACAAGAGGACAGCAAGAACCGGCCATGAGGAGTGAGGGACAGAGAAACGCATGAACAGTTTGTACTGTTCACGCCAAGGCCTGGACTCCACAACTCATGATGACAACGATGTCGTCTCTCAGCGTTCAAAGAGAAATAAACTAAAAAGAAACCACAGCTCCGTGAACTAAAACGAAACCAAGGGACCTCCGTTGTGTGCAACCAAAATACGATTTTCCTGTAATCGTAGAGCCCAGTAGTGACTTTACCAAAGGGAGACTGTTAAAAATTGAGGCCTGCTGCATTTTCCCCCATGAAACCCCTATGAACGTGGTTTATGGGGGTTTTTAAACAGGGGTACTGTGCAGACCTTTATTTTTGTTGCAAAACTAAAGGCTTCAACAGTTTAGAAAGTAATAATAAGCACCATGTGAGCTGTAGAAGTCCTTTAATTAACTTTGTCAGATGCTGTTTACAAGATTAATACCCTTTTAAGAGACAGTTTTTCCACTGTAGAAAGCTGGAATTCCTTCGATATTATTTACTGATGAGGTGGGCAGGTTTCACTTCCAAGCCATGATGCCAGGCTTTTTGATTGACATTTTTTTTTCCTCCAAAACTCTTAAGTAAAAAAAAAAACCCATAACTAGATCTAATAATTTAGTAGTGGATTGTATTTTTAAAGACCTTTTCATTGTAAAAGTTCTCAAGAGGCAGCACGGTGGAGGCGTGATTCGGGGGGCTCTGCGCTCAGAACCAGGAGGTTGCGGGTTCAAATCCCGGGAGTGTCACAGCTGCTTTGCTCATACTGCTCCAGTAAATACCCAGATGTGTAAATAAGTACGTTCTGGGTAGTTGTTGTAAATGGGAATTTGTGCTGAACTGACTCATCATTTTAAGGAAAGGATGGAAAAGTTGTGTTATACGTTTGGGCTAATTTGTTTCATCCACCACTAACGTGCAGCCCTACCAGTGTGACATCTTGTCCCTGGAAGCATGTGGGTTTAATGTGTTTTATCAACCTCCCACAGTTACAAGAGTTTAGTTCGTGCACAGGAAACAGGAGATTCTCTTGTACAGTGTAAGGAAGCTAGCTGACTGGATTTAAATCAGGAGTGTAGATTTAGAAAATGAGGCTGCAATACCCATTCTGAGCCAGTGGATGGCAGTAGAGGTGCTTCAAACAGCGCTGCTGTCTTTCGCAGTCAATAAAAGATTCCCTTTGTTTTTTTCCAAGTGGGGATTTCCTTAATGTAGGCACATCGGCCTACAGTAACTGTTACAATTCAAGAAAAGAAATTTGCATTTTATTTAAATATATTATACAAGAAATGGTTGGTTTTGTTAATTTCTGAGTTCAGGTTTAGCACAACAATTCTTATGCATTTGTTTTATTTTTAATTGTACTTTATCATTTCTTTGGAACATTCGGGTGAGTTTGGGGCAGCAGCCAAAGCAAATAACTACACAAGCGTCACACTACAGGCTGGAGTTTTTTTTAGGTTTTTGTATTTTATGCAAAAATCTAAAAAATATGTTATTTCTTTACAACACATTCAATGCATTTAAAATCAAACTCAGTTTATTTACATTATCGGCAAAAATAATAAATATCAAAAGCTACACATCAAATTAATAAAAATAAAAATGCAATAAGGGTTTTTAAAACGGATGATATAAAATCAGGATAAATAGTGATACCTTCCCATTGATTTATTTGTTTACAACAAAATAAACCTTGATGTTCTTTTTTTCGTAGAACATTTTAGAAGATGAAAAGAATAATGGTGAAGTGTGATTGTTTAATCTCTGTGTGTGATGAGAGGAGGCTTAGTCTGCACTGGTGGCTGTTCCTGTCCCAGACACTAGGGGGCACCTCTCTCTGCCCCTTACCCTGCATTGCGCTCAGAGTTAGGCACACCTCTGTCCCTCTCCTCTCTTGTTTTTTTTTTCCAGATGATTGTGGATCAACCTCACCAACTGCAAGTATGAAAGTGGTGAGTAACAATGGAGGAGGGTTTGGGCAATCAGCTCCCTGTAGGTACCCAAAGTGCTTCTTGAGATCCATTTCCTTTGCTTTGACATACCAGGGGGCTTACTGTAATAGGGAGTGGTGGATAAACATCTCACCCTGCTCAAGGTGAGGCACGTGCAGGTCCTCGAGATAGGACTGGGCAGGTCTGGTTTCTTTGGGTTTGATTCTGGAGTAGCATATCTGTTAATACTAGCACAGTTGTTTTAATCGCTGATTAAGCCACCCTGATCTGCAAGTAATGTAATTAGTTGGGCAAATAGATAGCCCTCACAGCTCTTGTCAGGCCAGGTGTGACTCTGCCTCCGGTCAGGGGGTGTCGTTACCAGTGAACACAGCACGTTTCCATATGATTAACACCTGTATCGCCTGTGCTGGTTGGATGCAGCCTGACAGGACAATAGCACAAGAATTGGGCTTTCATCATTATCCCTTCAACAATAACATTAAACTCAAGTGTTTTCTTTTCATTGCTGTTTACTCAAGTCTTGATTCCTTAAGGCAGTGCCAAGATTAAATTGCATTCCAGGTTCGGTAAAACCATTTGGTTTCTCATCCTGACTCTGCACTCCTGTTAAATTTCTTTTGGCAGGGGCATATTGATTTGGCATTGCTCCCAAATGGAGAGTGAAAAATATTTATTATTATTTTGTTATTGCTTACATTTATATAGCGCTTTTCTGGACACTCCACTCAAAGTGCTTTAAAGGTAATGGGGATCCCCTCCACCACCAGTGTGCAGCCCCACCTGGATGATGCGACGGCAGCCATAGTGCGCCAGAACACTCACCACACATCAGCTATCAGTGGGGAGGAGAGCAGAGTAATGAAGCCAGTTCATAGATGGGGATTATTAGGAGGCCATGACTGGTAAG